GCCCTAACCCTGACCTCTAACACTAACCACTAACAGGTGCGGCTACGAAGTAAGATCTTGCCAATGCATATTCATTCAGAAGTAATTTTTAACAAGCTCACTTTGTGAATGCTTCCGAAAGGAAGTGCATTTAGAGGTTGGCTTTCTGGCGTGACTAAAATACCCTGGCCTTATTCTGCGCGATATTCAGTATAACAACGTCACCTATGTAATCCCTTCTAATTTAAAACACATTTCTGACTGTTATTAACATTTAATAAGATACTCCAGCTACTATGGGTGTTGTCGGGGGTAAATTAAAACATATAGCCCCTAAGAAAAGGCGAGCAATCCTCATTTCCCACGCAAATGAAATGTGGGGAATACGAAGCATAGTTATTGGCAGGCGGTATCGTTCTACCGATACAAGCGAAAATGCGAGTTCGTCAACCAGTGCCTGCGCAAACGAGACGGGCGACAAAATCGCGCCGACCCCAAATTCTGGCGAGCGATCCCTTACATCAAGAACGTCTCCGAGGCAGTTAGCCGCCTTCTTGCACCACTTGGGGTTGGAGTTGCGCACAGACCGGAGGCCACCATGAGGCGTCAAGTGATGAGACCAAAAGACCCACTGCCACGGCAAGAAACATCTGGAGTCGTTTACCGGATCTGCTGCAGTTGCGGACAAAGCAACTACGTCGGAGAAACTGGAAGACTGCTCCGGACGCGAATCGCCGAACACGTGGCAGCTGTACGGAGAAATGACGCCAACTCTCAGGTCGCGGCCCATTCGACGAGACCCGGCCACACATTCAAGTTCGATGAGGCGGAAATTCTCGCGAGAGGGGATAATCGCGTGAGCCGCGAGTTGCTTGAGTCATGGTTCACGGGACCTCAGTCTATCAACAAGTGCAACGACATCCCCACTCCATATTCTGTCCTGAGGCATAGACTGGCCAAAGCAATTGACCACTCGAGGAGCGCGCAAGCACGTGAGCCAGATGGCCGAGCAATCATCACGCCAGCATCCAACACGGGTGATGAGATGTCAGCAATTAACAACTTGCATGCCGGCCATCAAGCAATTAGCGCACCAGCGGGCAACAATCCTTGATGAAGTGAGCACGGTTAATTGCTGTAGGTATGCGGTAGCATGGCGATCACATCCTATAAATACTGCGACTTCCTGTACACTAGCCACCCTTTTCTGCAACTGTCTCTGATGATGGATTCAAGAGAGAATCCGAAACGTCAGGCGAATAAAGCCATTGTTCCAGCGATCGCTTCTTCTTCTGATCGGTATCGTTCTAGTTAGATGATGGTAGTTACCCTCTTTGAGGTGTTTATTCCGAGGGGCCTTTTCACGGAAATAGTTGCAGGATTAAAAATTGTCCTTCAGTTCAACCAAAATAAAATCAATCATACATTATGACAACAACTGTCCAATAGGCGTTTTGTTAATATTAAACTACAAGTAAGGAAATAAACATTTCACAACGAATCATAATTTCAGGTAACTACATACGATTTATTAGGAAAGACATTCGACACTACTCCATGGGTGTTCGTAGTCCGATTGTCATGCGGATATTTTTCGATCTAAACACCCAAACTAGGGTAGTGTGGATGAGGACAGGTTAGGAAAGGGGGACAGTGCCCCAGGGGAAAGGAAAGGAAGGTGCAAAAGTGCAATATCGCAGCACAGACGCCAGTTGTCTTATTTTCGCAAACACTTCACGGAATCCACCCTGACAACAACCTGGGCAAACCTCGTGGAATTTTTTGAAGTATCGGGACTCCTCTCATCAACAGGATTATGAGCCAGTTATTAGGTTACTCCTCATAATTATTCTCCTAAAGACTTTGATGGGCAATGTCAAATGGCAGTAATGACGTCCACCGCGTGATCCACGGAGTGGATGCAGCACAGGTGGCCTGCAAATACACTGCTTTATGTTGGTGGTAGGGACTTGCCTAGCGTCTACTGTGCGATCTTGCGTCCCATGTGTCACGGACCCACGCGCACATGACAGTTCGCTGTCATTGCTGACAGTGGTGGCCTTCACAGAAGGCTTGCTGCAGGATATGAATGTGGTTTTACGATGTGAGCAGTGGACTGGAAAGGCCCATGAGTTGACTGAATATTCGCGGATATTGTGAGAGTGAATACTGTCTGGCAATCCAATGATCGTTAGAGCCTGTGTGTATGTGTATGTGGGGCTTCGTTCAGCGGTAATGACGTTTACTGCGTGACCCACGGGGTGGACGCAGTGTAGGTGGCCTATAAGTGCATTGGGTTATGGTGGGGGTGGGTGCTTGCGCAGCATCCACGGCGCAATCTCTTCTTTTGCTAGTAGAAAAACGAAATCAAGTCCACAGCAGGTGGGTTTGCACTCTGCGATTGGTGGAGCCAAACGAATCGCCTACGCGTGCCATACACGCATGCGGTGCACGTCAAGGTGCATCATGCCAGCGCCGTCCGTATACTGACCGGTGTAGTCCCAGTCTTAGCATATGCGACAAGGCAGCCTGTTTCTGCATCAGTTCAGAAATTAAGTGTTTTCAGACTATGCACTCAAGATGAGGAGAATTCCCCATTGTCTGGGTAATAAACCCATTAGCTCCAGTAGAAAAAAAAAACAATGCTCAACAACAACACCCCCGCGTAAAATGCAACTGTAACTGCTTCTAATGAGATGGCCTGGGGAATGCCTGCCTAGTTATTTCCAGTCGGCGTCTAACCTGTTAACCTCCAGACACAACTACGGTCATCGTCCCGCTTTGTGAATAATGTAGTCTGCTGTGCCTAACACTCCACACACACTTCTCACCTTTACGCTGTGGAAAAATATGCCCGACATAATTATTCTCCCACTGAGTCTGTAGTGCAAACGACTCTTAAAGCTACAAAGAAAAACAGATACAGAAAATACTTAACCCTAGGTGGGGGATGCTGTGTTTCTTATAAAAAAAGCGATAGCAAAGAATGCGGGAAAAACGGTAAAGGTAAATAAATATACAGACTCACGAAAATCGAAGCCCTTTACAGTATCAGTTGTCGTAGCGTGAAAGCTCTGGGTAAAGTTCGGAGGGTTCCGAGCTGAAGTCAATTACTGAAGCATATTGCTCGGGTAAACTCACGTCCGGCAAGATACGACAGAGAAATAAAAAGGATTGAGACACGTGAACACAATCAACGAAGCAATGGCGCCAAACAGCAGATGGGCGCGTTGACTCAAGCCGAAACCAGGTGTGTGTATTTTAGGTTATTCCAACAACAGTACAGAAAAGTTGAGGTGTACAAGAAAGGTTAATGTGAAAAATCGAAGATGTACATAGACCTACAAGCCCTGCTAGTTATGTTTATAATGCTTAGAGAATAAATTTGGCATGCCATATCCTTAAAATGCCGATAAGATTTCACTTGACATTCGTCTTTCTGAAAGCCTCCTCCCTATCCAGCAGGCGCGATTAGCCGTTCTGACAAAGGTGCATTTGTCGTCGACCATCCCAGCCGGGTTAGGGTTATGAGAGTTAGGGCTGTGAAGGTTAGTGTTAGGGTTAAAGTTGGGGCACATGTATTGGTGCAGCCCGGAATTTAGCGCGGGACCACCTGTATTACTGGGGACGTTCCATATCCCCGTTACTAACCATTTCCGCTTGAGCGATTTTCCATAGGTACAGAAGTACCAACTGTCTTCTGTTCATCGGCACTCTCCGTAAAACGGCCTGAGCTTTGTAGCTTTGATGGGACCCTGACGGGTCTTTAATGAAAAAATATTATTATACAACAGCTGGCACATACTTCGTAGAAGTATTTGGACTATTACGACATCTCTTGACTACGGCACAGTGAGCAGTGTTATTGGTCGCCTATCACTTCGTCAACACACGAAACATTTTTGGGCCGTGAAGAGATTGACTGAATATATGGATAATGTATTAGATATGACTAAATTTAGTCATGCGTTTAGGCGTGTGTAGTTTGGGTCTCCAGGGGTCATGCACTTGTTTTGCGGCCAGAAGTTAGCATTGTTGGTCAGGGCCTTGATCTGTTAACAGTTCAACACTCACTTCTTTATTTCGAAAGGGAGCTTGCCGCATTAATGTGATTATTGAACTCTAGACAGAAGCTATCATGATATTCAGATTTACGCAGAAGTTTCTGATTTTGCAGAAATTCATTATAATTCTCTGGCATGATCACAAATCCTGCCAAAATCTTATGTTTTTGTTATTTAAATAGGTAGCAACAGGGGTGTAGGGGTATCAGCGGTGGGCTCACGTGATGTTCGTAGTGGTCGATCGATTGCTTGCACGTGAGACTACGCCTAACGTCCATTTGCTGGCACCCAACTCTCACCTGTGGCTCCACGTAGATGGGCTCTGCCAAGCGGCCACACCCCGGGCAACCGCAACGACCGGCGGGCCAAACCAAGTGAGGACGCTGTGCCGCGTGCACAGTGCATCGCGGACTCCGCTGGATGGAGGCTCGGATGGAACTCTGCGTCGGCTCCGTCGTGACGAGGCTCCGTCTGATACGCCGCTGGGTAGCCGGTGACGGGATGGATCTCCACAAAGATATCGTCTTGACGCGCCCACCTACGCCGTCGGAGGCCGCGTCTTACGGCAAACTTGAGTCGTTCTCCACTACGAACAAGAAGTCGTGACCGCGTAGTGGAGTTCGGTCGCGACAAAATGGCAAATGGGCAGCCCTATTCAGGGATGAAACTGCCTGCCCCCACGAGGGGAAGGGCCTAGAAAAGGTGACCTAAACATTGCTGGGCACCACGCCGTTTGCAGGCTAGCCAGGGCCGCAGACGTCTTATCATGGTCGAAACAATCAAAATCGAAACAACAACAATATCAATAACAACAACAACAACAACAACCATACTCATTCTCCTCATCCTACCTCTTCTACTTCTTCCTCTGCTTATTCATCTGCCTATTCTTCTCCTTCGACATCTTCTTCTCCACCTCCTTCCCGTCGCCCCACTCGTTGTCCCCAGACTGGCAGGATGAGTCCGCTCACTCTAGCAGCCTGGAATGTTCGTTCCCTTTCAGACAATCCGAGGAGCAACCGACCGGAACGGAGGACGGCGCTAGTGGCCCGGGAACTGGCGCGCTACAAAGTGGACATCGCCGCACTCAGCGAGACCCGATTCTCCGAACAAGGCCAACTGGAGGAGGTGGGTCCTGGCTACAACTTCTTCTGGAGTGGTCGACACAGGGCCGAACGACTAGACGCGGGTGTCGCCTTCGCAATCCGGAACGACATCGTGGGACGACTGCCCTGTCTGCCGCGGGTCATCAAAGATCGCCTGATGAGCCTCCGTCTGACTCTCAGGAGTGGAGGAAAAATCGCCAAAATCATCAGCGCCTACGCTCCGACGATGAGCAGCCCCAACGCCGCCGCCGCCGCAAGACACAAATTCTACGAGGAACTGCACGCCCTCTTGGCGACTGTGTCGAAGGCGGACAAGTTGATTGTCCTTGGCGACTTCAACGCCCGCGTCGGCACAGACCATACTGCCTGGAGAGGAGTGCTGGGTCACGACGGTCTCCGCGGCTCAAACGACAATGGCCTACTGCTCCTCCGCACCTGCGCAGAACACCGCCTCATCCTGACGAACACGTTCTTCTGTCTGCCGGAGCGAGAGAAGGCCACCTGGAGGCATCCTCGGTCGCGCCAGTGGCACCTGCTGGACTATGTCCTCGTTCGGAGGCGAGATCAGCGGGGCGTGCTGGTGACAAAGGCGATCGCGGGTGCTGAGGGGTGGACCGACCATCGCCTCGTCATCTCGAAGATGCGTATTCGCCTACAGCCTCGCAGGAGACCACAAGATAAGCGATCCCCAAGTAAGCTGAATGTTGCCTTGCTTTCTTTGTCCGCTCATCATATTCAGGTCAGCAATGAGCTAACTCAACGGTTAGCCAACCTTCAAATCGCTGTCGCCGACGACGCTGCCGCCACTGCCGAGAGCGCCTCCGTGGAGAACCGCTGGTGTCAACTGCGAGACACGGTCCAGTCGACGGCGCTCGCCGTCCTCGGTCGCGCTCCCCGCCAACACCAGGACTGGTTCGACGACAACGACGCTGCCATCAGAAATCTGCTTGCCGATAAGAACCGCCTACTCAAAGCCTACGTAGATCACCCCACTGAGGACAACAAAGCTGCCTTCTACCGCAGTCGCCGACAGCTTCAGCAACGACTGCGCGAGATGCAGGACGCCTGGACTGCTCGTAAAGCTGAGGAGGTCCAAGGCTATGCGGACCGCAACGAATGGAAGAACTTCTTCTCCGCGATCAAAGCTGTCTACGGTCCGCCGACGAAGGGCACTGCTCCTCTCCTCAGCGCCGACGGCAGCACTCTCCTGACTGAGAAGACGCAAATCCTACAGCGATGGGCCGAGCACTTCCGAGGCGTCCTCAACCGCCCTTCCGTCATCTCCGACGCCGCCATCGCCCGCTTGCCGCAAGTGGAGACCAACGCGGACCTCGACCTCCCGCCATCTCTCTAGGAGACCATTAGGGCCGTGCAGCAGCTCTCCAGCGGGAAAGCACCCGGATCGGACGCAATCCCTGCTGAGGTCTACAAGCATGGAGGTCCCCAACTGATTGATCACCTGACCGCGCTCTTCCAGGGGATGTGGCGTCAAGGTGAAGTCCCGCTAGATTTCAAGGACGCAACCATCGTGCATCTCTACAAGTGAAATGGGAACCGCCAAGTCCGCGACAATCATGGCGGCATCTCCTTGCTGAACATCGCCAGGAAGATGTTCGCTCGCATCCTTCTCAACCGCCTCAACAAACATCTCGAACAGGGCCTTCTGCCGGTAAGCCAATGCGGCTTCCGCCGACATCGTGGGACCACAGATAGGATCTTCGCTGCCCGTCAACTTCAGGAGAAGTGCCAGGAGATGCGGACCCACCTGTACTCTACCTCCGTGGAGAGTGAGGTCGGCGACTCAGCGCACTTCTCCTCACTATTAACAATCTGACACGCTTGAAGCTATCACGGTGCGCTAAAAGCCGTGGCTTGGAAGGTTGCCAACTGACGGGGTAACTTGGACCTCCTCCTTGACTGGTGGTGGTCTGAGAGTCAGGCTGCAATGGCTCCTTCTAAATGTGGCCATTATGGCATTCCCACCACAGTGTGGGATCCGAGCCAGGCGACGGCGGCGCGCCCAGGTGCGGCTTCGGTCGTGCCAGCCTCCAAATCTCTCTTGTTTTGGTTGAAATGCTGGTTATTGTTGGGTGGACCAGGGGGTGTGGTGGAACGCCAAGGTGAGGATCCGTCCGAGCCATCCACCTGCGGCCTTTCTCGTCTCCGGTCTTCTTGACTCTGTCTTGACACCGGGCTCGGGCGAGGGAGGAGGAGAGAGTGTAGGTAGATGCTACGCATGTCTACTGGCACTATAAACCCCTGCGCAAGTCACCGTCCCTGCTCCCACAATGCAGTCTGTGGGGCACAAGGTGGACATCATCGAAATCGATGGTCGAACTGTCGTGTGTGTGTGTGTGTGTGTGTGTGTGTGTGTGTGTGTGTGTGTGTGTGAAAGAGGTAGTGATCGATGCTGAGCTGGGCTTCCATGCGATAATTCGGCGTTCTCTTCCCTATCACAACCCTGATGCGCTAAACTTAGTTGCTCAGATATCTGCCAACTGAGGGGATAGCGCGTTCCGCCTTGAAAACGGGGAGAAGTCTCTTAAGGTCCCCTCTTACTGAAGTTTATATGACACTTTTTGTTGGGGCAGATTAAAGACCCCTCAGATTGAGGACTGACACTTGTGGTGTCATAGATCAATACGAGCCTGACTCTCGTAAACGTACAGTTTAGTTCTATCATCCGCCATTAGTTCCATGCCCGCATTCGCTGTCTCAAACATTGACAACCAAGAGAATGCAATGGGCGTGGGAAGAGTGAGAAGGGGTAAAGCAAACGCGGTTCTGTTGCAGTTTTTTTAAATACAAAACCGGTTTACCTTAGCTTCACTGACTATACGGATGAAGGAAAGTCGTTTACTCGCATAGATGCAGGCGCAGCCGAAATGTGCCATGAGTATCTTTATGACAAATTTCAAAATAGACACCCCAAATTTGGAGGGTAAGTAGCGTTACTATAACGTGCTCACTACCTTCATTTTTTGCTTCTACTTTGACATACCCTCCGAAATTTTATTGCGAGACTTTTATGCTGAAATGGTGTACAGCGAAGATGCGGTGTCACGATATTTCCTTCGACACGGCCATGCTGTAATTGCGATGGACCGATGATCTGCAAGAACAAGAAGGTCCATGGCGGTAGCAAAAATAAATAACTTACTTCGATGAGAATTCCCTCGTGAGGATGCCGAAGTTGTTTATCGGCAAGGTAGGTTAACCAACCTTAACTTGCTGTCTACTGTTCCCTCGATGGTGTAATCGACATTGTTGTCTGTTTTTGGCCGAACACGTATATGTGCACTCCCACCCAAACTATGCAGCAAGGACACCTGTAATATGACAATGATGATCATAGAAGAGGAAACATGATGTTATTAAATATGAAAAAGTTGAATTTGTGCTCATGTTTGCTTCTATGTATAAAAAGGCAAGGGCCTACTATGACGTGAGTCCTGTCTTCATTTTTGGTTCTTACCTCGGCATACCCTTCGAAATGTCGCTAGGATAGTTTTGCACCGAAATGGTACTCAGTGAAGAAGCGGCTCCTCCGACGTGGTCTCTTAGTTGACGAAAATTCTTGCTACAAATGCGATTGGCGGGTGATGTTCACGGATAGGAAGGTTTGAGGACAGAATGCACCGGTGTGAAAATGCAAAAAGAGGCGTCAATCTGTTCGATGGGCAGAAAAGGGGAGATGGATCCTTCCATTAATGTGATTTGAACGGAAGACTCCACTTGATGCTTGTCATTGCTATTTGAAGCTCGGTGAAGTTTTAGGGCTAGTTTATCTCTGGAGCAAAAGAATGCCACAGGAAAAAGTTCCAAAGCTAACTGGTAGATGTTCACATACAGTGACTGACTGGTTTAATTACTACCGGGAAGTCTGTCGCTAGTAGCGAATAGCTGAATAGGGCAGTGAAAAACTGTACGTGGCCGGATTTGCAGGACGTCGTAAGTACAATTGTGGCCGTCTTAAGGTAAAGGTCCAACTGTCGAAGAAAACGATGGCGATTCAGTACAGAATTATCGAACCACGGCTCATGCCTTGATGGTTCATGGGTTTTTGATTTTGTCAGGGTACCAATTTTAGATACTTCTACATACAAAAGTGAGATAAAGTGACGTTGAACTTGAGGTGGAAGCAGGTTGAACAATACATTATAACGAATTGCCATCTTATCAGCATATTAATCAGGCTGGGTCAATCAGCAGAAAAATTACGTTGAGTCCAATACAGGCGGGTACATCCAGCAAATCGAGAGAGTTCGATTAGACAGCAAGATTGAGCTTTTGGAGAAAAATCGCATAGTTTCTCAGAATTTACTTCAGGGGGACTTGAATGAACACTGTTGGCGTGTTTTGGAAAGAGATGAAGACCAAAACATGGCAATTCTATCTGATATTAGAGATGTATTTGTCTCTCCGCTCTTGTTATTTAATATGCATTTGATTTTCGCCAATATAGACGACATATTTTAAATAAAATTCGGATTTTTAAACAATACATATTAGGATAAGAATCACGCTATAGCAGCACCAAATAAGAAGTGAGTACAAACATACAACTGCTCCATTGGATAGCAAAAGGAAGGAAAATGTTGTGTAAGTCAAACAAAATAGCCGAAATCTTCTAATGTTGAAGAAACCAGATGCAGATGAACATTGTTCGGTCATAAGAAGCGTTCAAGGGCTGGGCGAGGGAAAAGAGAACTCTCGGGCGTCGGAGTTAGGGCTAAGGTTCATGCCGCATGTAGTGTTAGGAGAGTTAGGGTTAGGTTTATAGGACTGAGGTTGAAGTTAGGGTAGGTGTTAGGGTTAGAGTTCAGGGAAACGGGAATAGGAACCGCCCTGGAATTTAGCGCGAGGCCACTTATAGCGCCATGATGAACACATTCCGACGGCATGACAAAATCAACCGTGGCCATGCATCAGGGAGTTGACTGACAGGGCTAAGTGGCCCCTCCGAGCGTGCAAACCGCAACCTGGCTCCTGACCGCATCCCCACCAGGGGGTCCCGGATGGCACATGAGCAAATTTACTGAAAGCCTGGCAGGAGTTAGGGCGAGTTGTCCTGTCAGTTGACAAGACTGCAACTCACGACCTCTGGCGCATCAAGTTTTCTGGCGACGAAAGTGGGCATGACGGTTGGTGTGTCGCGTACCCTCGTCTCTCCAATCCGTTCCATGTGTCCTGCGCGATATTAAGTATAAAAACCTCACCTAAGTAATCCGTTCTAATCCAAAACACATTTCTGACTGTCGTTAACATCTAATATTACACGTCAGCTACTGTGTGTGCTGCCGAGGGTAAATTAAAACATATAGTCTCTAAGATTGAGCTAGTAACCCTCATTTTTCGCGCATATGAAATGTGGGGAACAGGGAAGTACAATTATGGGCAGGTGGTATTATTCTAATTAGATGATGGCAGTTACCCTCTTTGGGATGTTTATTCCGGGGGGGGGGGGGCGTTATGACGCCGATAGTAGCAAGATTTAAAATTGCCCTTTAATTCAAACAAACTAAGATCAATGATACATCATGACAACAATTGTCCAATTGGCGTTTGTGGTGATAAATTGCAAGCAGGCAATTAAATATTTTACAACGGATCATAATTTCAGGTAATTACACATGATTTATTACGAACGACGTTTGACACCTAAACTAGGGTAGTGTCAATGAGGAGAGGTTAGGAAAGGGGGAACAGTGCCCCAGTGGGAAGGAAAAGAAGGTGTGAAATGTGTAATATCGGAGCAAAAACACCTGTTGTCTTCTTTTCGCAAACACTTCACGGAATCCACCCTGACAACAACCTGGGCAAACCTCGTGAAATTGTTTGAAGTATCGGGACTCCTCTCATCAACAGGATTATGAGCCAGTTATTAGGTTACTCCTCATAATTATTCTCCTAAAGACTTTGATGGACAATGTCAAATGGCAGTAATGACGTCCATCGCGTGACCCACGGAGTGGATGCAGCACAGGTGGCCTGCAAATACACTGCTTTATGTTGGTGGTAGGGACTTGCCCAGCGTCTACTGTGCGATCTTGCGTCCCATGTGTCACGGACCAAAGCGCACGTGACATTTCGTCGTCATTGCTGACGGTGGTAGCCGTCTCAGTAGGCTTGCTGCAGGATATGAATGTGGTTTTACGATGTGAGCAGTGGACTGGAAAGGCCCATGAGTTGACTGAATATTCGCGGATATTGTGAGCGTGAATACTGTCTGGAGATTTAGTGATGGTTAGAGTGTGTGTGCGTATATGAGGTTTCCTTCGGCCCTTAACTGGCACTCATCCTTCACCTCTGTTTCCAGGATGTTGTGCTTCGCTCGGCAGCCACAGTCCGCTA